GGCTGGTGATTAAAAAAAACATCCTGCAAGCAATACCTGCTCCAAAAAAATGATCCACGCACACGACAACTACCCGAAAAAATTCACGCGCGCTCAGTGAGCCGAAAAAAAAGTATGTTACACGGAGAAAATTCCTAGTGCCGAAAAGGGTTAGAAAAAAAATATATATTCATTCGGACTATCAGTTTGGGGCAATATACTTGGGACGGACCTTAGAAAAGTGATTAGGGGTGGGGGGCGGGGAGGATATTTGGCTCGCATGAATTTTTTTTTGGCCTGTTGACTGTGCAAGAAAATTTTTTTTCAACTGCAACCCTTCGCATGAATTTGTTTTTTAATCTGCTTCCTGCCATATTTGTCTGCGCGTGGCGCGTTTGCTCTGGGCCTCTATTCGGTGATCTTCCTTCGCTTGGTGGGACGGTACAGAGAAAGCGACTCCCAATTGTTGCCGTTGATGTCTGCGCCTAAGTCTTGGATGAATCCTTTGCAACCGAGCGCTTGTTCTGACAGAGTTCGCCATATAGCAATCGTTTGGGCAGTCGACTGTCTGGCATTCAGACAACATGGCCAGTCAATTTCACTTGTGCTTTCTGCAAGGTCAGGATGCTGGCCTGTTACAGGACTTGGTTTGTCTTCTGAATTAATGTAAGGGTTAGTGCAACAGCTTTTCCAAAATATACAGTGGGAAGGGAGGAAGCGGTTTGTAGTGGAAGGCTTCCCAGTGCACACCACCGTTTTGACCACTTGGTAATGTGGTCGAGTAATAGACTGTTTTGATAACAAAATGGGACCCTTCTTCTGCATGAAATTTTTTTCTTTGGGTTTCTCTTTGCAAGATTTTTTTTCCTGCCATTTTCCCTTGATCGAACTTTGTTTTGTTTTTTCCCCCACCTCCCATCACTTTTCTTAACGGTCCGTCCCTGTATGCCGCGTAGTTAGAAGTCACAGAATGCATTCCAAGGGTACATCCTACCATAAACACAAAAATTACAGGACATACTGCTTTGAGCAAGGAGAGATTACACCACTCCCACATAGGAAGATTTAGGGAGGATTATTTAACAGACAGAAGACAATATTGAGGAGAAAACCTGTTTTATTTAGCCTTGGGTCTTGAGGCATTATGGTAACAAGAAACCCATCACGCCAAATATATCGAGACCCGGGATGTTTACTAGCAACTTGCAATGGAAAAAAGTCCATATCTACATGTACAATTTAACATCGATCTTTTTACACTAGCTCACCTCGAAATAAAACTGCACTTTAAACACTGTTTATGTATGAAGTAGAGGGAGGTCGCCTTAGATCAATTTTAGCTTGATTAGCAAGAGCGACACATTCAGAACTCCTCTGGATGCTCACCTTGGACAGAGGCACGTGTCTTAGGTGGTTGGAAAGGTAAAATTTGCTCTTAGAGGTTATCCAGTTCAGCAGGAACTATGGGAGGTTCATGCAACACGAGACCTTGAGGTTACCATGCTGTGTGAAACAGGCTAAATTTGGATTTGGTGATAAGCAACTGTAGTAAAGATAACCCTTTGTGGTGTTTATCTCAAACCACATAACACAGTGAAGCAAACAAAACAAGAACTTTAGTCGATTCCGTTGGTTGGGTTTTCTCGCAACTTTTCTCAACAATTTTAATTTATCCACCTTTGTCTAGTCTGTCTAAACCTGTAGTAAACACACAACAGTAGATAACAAAGGTCTGGGATATAGCCCAGCTAAAAGTACCTGAAAATGAATATTAGCAACTTTATGAATAGCCATGCATAAGGTTGGAGATCACTTTGCAAATAAGATATATCAGCAAAGTGACAAGGACCATTTCACTAAAATAAGAGCCAAACTACAATCTTTGTTTCCTTTCATGCATAAAGGAAGCGCTATTTTTAGCTAATTACCCAGGGTGGGGCTTCTACAAATCTTGATGGGAGGACAAGAGAGTGAATTCAGGCCAGAGCATGGCTATTTATCTATATATCAAATGTAATGCAATGTATATCAAACTGATTAAAAAAGTGCTAAGCTACGTAATCATAGTGACCGATATCCACCAATACAACAAAACAGCCCCTGATTTTTGTTGGTGTTGTAATGTGGTCTTTGCAACGGATGAGAAATTTATCCTAACAAATGAGTCATTCTCACTCGTGGGAAAAGGGATGAGTGCAAAAATCGGTGGAATAGGTCACTATTAGTGAACTGTACTCAGCCAATAATGTAAACAACCAATGGCTGCTAATCAACTAGTCTAGTTTGCTACATCTTGAAACAGATACACGACAGTTAGCCTGTGGAATGTCCAATCAAGTCCATATTGATAATACACTGCTGGTAATGAATAAAGCCGTGCAAAATGAGGAAGTGACACTAGTTTGTATTTATTATCAGTTGTGCATTGAACATTATAAGGACTGATTGGCTCACATGTAGTCTTTTTTTTTTTCTCTTTTCTTTTTGTACTTAGTTTTCAGTATAAAGAAATAAACTTACTTCAGTTATATAATAAAATTGTCTATATAAATTGCTATAACAATAATTAATATAATTTAATATACAAGGCCCAATATGACCTACAAATTAGAATTTAAGCATTCCTGACAGATACTGTTTGAAATTCGCTTGCACTTGTTCCTTGGTATTAGCAGTTCTCGATGAACGAAATGCTTGAAGCAGTAGAGTGTCTCTCCTCCTGATGTATTCACACAATTCCTGAATAAAAATCTCAATTAGCATCTAAAAGTTTGCTAGAAGCCATAAGCACCCAAAAAAAATCATTGAATAGGCATCCTAGGCATGCCAGATTCTCTCTCAGTAATTTTGGGGGAGATGGTGAAAATTGTTGCAAATAATTTTCATTATCATTTGATGCATTTTTCTTTCTTTTGATAGACCAAGAGCCCACCAATGACCCACAAATAACTTCTGACAAATAATGGTCTGTTCATGTTATACCATCTAAAAGTGTTTTGCTAAAAGAAATATTCCACTCATACGCAATTATTGTATCCACACCCTCGTGGTAAAATGGCAGATTGCTTTCCTGATCTGTGCAACAGTGATTTAAGTACAGTGTATGAAATCAAAATTGGTGATCAAGTGATAAAACAATAAATATTGAACTCAATTAATGAAAATGTATCTTGATAATATTATTGTTAACTGACTGGCACTACAACATTAAAAATAAATATTTCAGAGCAGTCACAAAGTGAAATGATAATATATCTGTGGAACCTTTTAAGGCCAAAGGAATTTCTGCTATTGATAAAACTCTGCACTGCCCCTATTTCTTACAATAAAATATTTTAAGGCAAAGTACAGATGGATAGGCCCTTTGCATGAACGTATCAACCACGCTACCACACAAGTTACACAGTGGGACTTCCAAAACAAATCAACTCGCACCAGACCAGCTTGACTTTCCACTGTTTTGGCAGTCCCAACACGTTACTTGCATTCAAGCAGGGCTGATTTTCAACCATGTGACCAGGTTGTGCAAAGAGCCTATTTACTATATATTTGTTGTTTTATTTACTACAATAAACTGCTCACTTACCTTGACGTGTTCTGTAGAAAGGTCTCCATTTTGATGCAGCTCTCCAAGCTGGACGCACATAGCTTGCCAGTCTGATATAAATTGAGTCACAGAAAAATATTTTTTAATTGATGACCATTTTACATCAAAATTAACATTCAGTCTTTCAATATTGTATTCCTGTACAGCTTCAACTCCACTACATCCAGAAATGCATGTAATAATGAAATTGACACATTTGACAAAATTTCTTCACACCAAGTGAATGTTCATTTATTAATTCAGTTGTATACTTTGGACAGAATTTTCAGTTTCCCAAATTTTGTCAGATCTGTCAATATGGTCAACAAATTTCATCAAATCTGCCATTTTTGTTGCTGCACATATCTCTAGACATAACTTGATTTACCAACACTACTTAGAGCAATCAATTTGCTAAACCAGAGACAGAAGGGATTCCTCAACTTAGGAACTGTGAATGTCATTACCTAGCACTGTCACTCGGAATAATTGCACAAAAAAGAAAGCAAAAATTACCTTGTTCTTCGCTCACTGCAGGCAACATGACTGGCACTGGCTCCACAATTTCTTGTGGCAAGTTGTTCAAGACAATGTCACCAATTGAGTTAAATTCCACTGGCAAAAAGTTTTCGGTGGCAGAAATAGGAAGAGTAGGATGCATTTCAACTTCCTGAACTTGTAGTTGTACAGGGGTTGGTTTGGGTTTATATGTGAACTCAATAGGTTCACTTGATTTTGCATCTTTACCATTTCCAAAAGTTACCACCACGTTAACAGTAACAGGAGAGGTTATTTCAGGGTTGCAATATGCTGGAGTGAGGACCACTGCAGCACCCTTCAAAGGGATACAAACACTGAAATTAGAATGACTTAACTCCATTTTTTAAAAATAAAATTGTTAGACTTTTATAGTTCATTCCAACCCATTTTCACTAAAAATCAACTTTAACTACAAATAACAAGGAACTTAAGCATGCGCGTTTTTGAGATGCGGATGGCAACCAGAAGAGAAGATTTCGCATGCTAGGACCGTATTGTCTCCCAGATTTTTTATACTACTCATCTCTAATGAAGAAAAGATACTTAGTAATGTGAATATGGTTGTGTGAGGACAAGTTAAAAGTGAAAGTAGCTCACTTCTGGTTACCGTCCGTTTCTCAAAAACGCATGTGCTTAAGTTCCCAAATAATAAAACACAAATAAGTCACAGCCCAAAATTAAAATTCAAAAACAAGAATTGCATTCAATCTGATTTACCATGGAGTAATTTTTCATAAAATGTTGAAAACAAAACTGGGCAATTGCACAGCCAATACTGACACTAACTTTAAAATTGAAATGCTTTGGAAAGGAACAAAAGAAACATGCTCACCTGATGTGACTTACTCTTGTCGACATCTGCAAAACTCTCCCAAGTTTCTGCAAGGCAAAATTCAATTAACATTTAAAGAGTGCTTGAAGTATGTTTTATTCAGGGACCCCAGAATGGTGCTGATCAACCCCTATAATTCAGCACATTTTCCCAGGGACCTGCCCAATGTCCTACCCTCCCTTTAACCCCAAGAACCAGGCAAAAATGGCATTATCAGGTGTCATCAAGCAGACAAGTGGACAAAAGGGGATGAAATATTTCTAATGTGACAAACCTGGCTGCATGATGAAGCACCCAACGTAAGAGGTTACTACAGGGATGGCAGATAATTCTTACAATACACTTAAGGAGATACTCAACTTAACAACAATGGTAACAATATTTAGGGAAACATTATTTTTGAAATTGCATGCTTTAATTTTAATCTGAACAAAGCCTCATAAATTCTAGCAAGACAAATGCATCTGTTGAGTTTTTTTCAAAATCAGTGCACAAATGGTCAAAAGATAATGAAACAAAAAAAAAACTTTTCAATGATTTCATGATCAATTTTGTGAATTCCAGTTCTTTAGAGTCTCTCAAATCTTCAAGATTCATTACATAAAAATAATACTTGTGTTGTTTTTATACAAATGTAAATGAACAATCACACATACTTTGCCACATGTCATAATGTAACTCTTAAGGCATATGTCAAATGGGATTTTAGGGGCTCTGGGTTAATGCAAAAGGTTTTTCATCGTTATCCAAAATTAGGGAAGGATTTCATTATGAACATAATGCCTTAGAGTTGTTTTCTGCCATTCCTTGTAGGGCTGGGCAACCCAAGTACTAAAATAATCATTGAAATTCCCAATCCCCTCATGCGCAAAGTTAATAACAACCCAAGAAAATAAACAACCAACACTGTTCAAAAATCTCTCAAAACTTCATGAATCTGTTAGGAATAAATTAAGCTTTGAGACTTCCATGCAGATTATGGTGGGCAATTTGAAACTTGAGCAATTATTTTGAGGGTAGAATGTTGGTTATTTATCCACCTGATAGTTGTCAATTGGGTAATTTCTCTCTGTGTTTCAACAATGGAGAATAAAAGCCAGTTTATTTCAGATTAACAAAATCAATGTGCCAAATAATTTAAGCTCCAAGGCTGAAATCACAAAGAGAAAAGAAAGAAAGAAGTGGAAAAGTTTGAATCATGAGAGTCTGACAACATTAATGGCCGACTGTTGAAAATGCATGTCGCAAACAACATGGTTCAAACTCCCAATAAAATAAAAGTAAATAAGGAAATACACTTGCCTTTGGTGTGGTGTAACACCTAAATATTTCAATGTCCAGGAAGTCTCTGGTTAGTCTAATGACAAACAATAAGTTCCTAATGGCAGGGCACTTTAGGGCTTAATTTGCTGTACTGACAGGGCAATCAAAACTAACTCTTGAAGCGCAAAGTCATCTACAGTAAATGTAATTTATGGAACAAGACTATCCTCTTAGGAAATCCTGTGAGTCTATCGCGTTTGGACAACTTGTGGCATGAAAGGCACTGGTCACTGATGGAACAACTTTGAAAGAGACTTCCTTGACATAGCCGGTGCCACAACTCACCAAAGATCAAGCAACTTCCAAACAAGAAAAACCGAATACAAAGTAAAAAGACAAAAAACTTGTCTCACTGTGCAACTGTGGAGATAAAATTCATGCGCAATTGTCTTCCACTGTAATGAAGTGTTAAGGTTGTCGACTGGAGCCCACAATAATAATTGCTCACACATTGCTTTAACCAAACAATGTTTACCAGGACTTCTCACAACTTGTCTACTTCAAACATCTTTTTTCATGAGTGATTTTAACAAGCCTGATCCAGGGATAATTATGACTTATAAAAGTCCAGACAGGTATAAATAACCTTCCATATATCTGGCTGGCTCATTTTAGAACAGCACAAAAAGTGAGATTGCTGCTGTTCAGCAAGCCTTTCATTTGTTGTGCAAAATGATTGTATGAGGATACAAAAAAGGAATTATGGCACATACACTCCAAAAATGATCTGAAAAATTCAGATTTGACTACATATTATATTCATTCATCCAGAACGAGACTTTAATTACATGAAATCTTTAAAACAGTAGTCCAGAGAAACTTTCCCTGTCAGAAGTCAGCTGTTTATATTTTCTGCACTTCAGCTCTGCTGTGAACATGCTTGAATAAGATGTTACAAGGTCAAAAAGTGCTTCACAGAGGGCAATTGTACCAAATAACTGGGACATAGGTTTATGTGCAATAAACTACGTTGAAGAATGGCCTGTTATTGTTTTAGAAAGGCTGGAAGAACAACAACCTCGACGGTGTGCTGATGAGAAGTCTGGTAAACAATGCCTGACATAGACAGTACCTATTCTCAACTTAACAGCTGAAACTAAAAGAAGATCAGGAAAAGGTTGGAGACTTTCAAACCAGGGAGACTAAGAAAACCAAAACTTTGTTCTAATCATGCCATGACGACAACTTCACTACTTTCAAACTAGAATGCAGTTTAATGCATTGACAAAGTTTGTTACTGACGAAAATGGAACACTATTGTACTTTGCATCAACATTATCTCTTTCTGCACATTATCATAAGTTTGAAATTCGGACCAGGAATTACAGAGAGAAGAGCATAAGAAGAAAAGAAAAAGTTCTCAACTATAAGAGAATGTTTCTGGCCTAATACATTGAAGACCAAAATGTCATCACTATGTTTACGTCAAAAAAGATTTTTAGATAGATGACACCGAGCACCTGTATTATACAGCTTCCACCGGTAAAAAAGCAATTATGTGAGCAATGTCCATTGTGGTCAAAACAGTGTCAACTCTGGAAGCGCAATAACTGCAATCAGCATTAAAACCTTAAAACCCACCCAACAACCCAAATGTATCCCCCAACACCATGACAACATACCCAGTGCCAGTACTTTGCAGAACCAACATGTCAAAATAATGCGCATTCCTTTCAATTGTTCTTCTTACCAAATTTAGAACTTGCAATTTGTTAGCTTAAATTCAATTTGATGCGCAGTACAAATTTTAATATTTTGCCCCCTACCATTCAACGAAAATGGCACCAAAGCATGATTAATGTGAGCAATGATGCATATGTTTTTTTCCCATTGGTTATGCAAAATACTTGACAAAACCATACAGAAACTGGCATGCCTCCTGCACCTGACCGCTGATGAAATTCCCTTGCCAAGGACAATACAGCCAACATGTTCTACAAGAACAGTTAAGCTAGCGACACTTGGAAGGTGTCTTGTTACAAGTAAAATGTTTATAAGTCCAGTCCCACCACACCCTCCACCTCCCACCTTCCCTGGTGTGCTTTCTTGCTAAATATCCTGACTGCAACAAAAAAAGCCAATAAGAATTTTTCTTATCATGTCCAGATTGAATTTGAAAGATATCTTCAAAGTAGACTTCCAAAACTTCCTATTTTGATCATCCAAAGATTTGTCTTCATGTAGTCTCGGAGTAAGGCAAAACGTCACCCCATGAAGCTGATGTTTGAGATCTTTATAACCACCTTTTCACAACAAAAAATGTGCTTGAGCTCAATATCTTTCATTTCACTGAAAACTAGTTGCTTTTGTCAGAAGCATGTCACTTAAACCAATACATGAGTAATAAAACTGGTATCAGAACTCTTCAAGTTGCTAGCAGAAATATCAGTTTGGTTTCTTCTTTTTGTCAGTCATGATAATCATGAAAAAATCTCACTTACAAATAGAGATCAGTGCAGAAAATTTGCAAAGTAGTGAATAGGGCTTATGGATTTAGAACAAGTTTTCACTGCTCCTTGTGAAGGGAAAATATGTTCACCATGAATCAAATTGTTTACTTGAAGGGCAACATACATGCCAATCAAACATATGTAAAGATCAACATGTTCACATGAAGGGGACAATGGTTACCATGAATCAAATTGTCACATGTATACCAATCAAACATATTTAGACATCCACATGTTCAAATCATGCTCAAAGATTTTCAGCACACTTCTTGATGTGTAGGCATGAATGTTTGTTCAACAAGAGCACCATGGAGTGATCCTTTGTTACTGGTGTTTGAAGACAGTCGTGTTTAGAGGCAAATTTAGCGCACACCTTCTGAACTGTTTTCTTTTCTTTAACCCAAACATTCACCCACCCAAGAAACCCAATCTTACATTACCTGTCAAGTCTACCCAAGTCCATTGACACAAGAATATCACAGCAATCAGGCACAGATCTACATTACATTTCACAAAGCTGAATCACTTTCAAAATTTGCCAATTTACAGTGAATGAGGCTCTTGTTGTTTTACATATGCAAAAATCCGAAACATCAAACCATCTATACTTCCCAAAAGCAAGAAGCAGCAGCCTAATTCAGTTTTTTGTTTTACTATAGATAATGAGGCGTGCCAGTTTAAACAAAACAAGTACAAAAAGGTAGGGTATCAGATTACAATGCATGTTACCCTTGGTTATCTTTTGGTTTTTGTTTTGAATCAAACAAGTTTTTTTCTTGGTTTCAACACCTTAGTCTGGAAACAAGCTGGATAAACTCTCGAAACAAGTAAAAATCTCTCAAGACGACGTCACTTTGCATTGTAAGCTAATGCCCAACAATCACAAGAACACAAGCAAGGAGCAAGTCATTCTACAGAGTAGGATGCAAAGTCAGTCGTGTTCATTTTAAGGTTAACGTCACTGACAAAACAGCCCACAATGAACAAATTTACCCCTTGATTATACTCCTGTGAACATTCATCAGTATAACAAAGGAAAAAAGAGACACACTGCCTACCAGTGGGGTTCACAGAGAAGAATCGTACTTTGAAACCTGCAAGAGCACAAAAAAATGCTTTAATTCACAGAACTACCTCTTACCAACACAAAAATACCAGGTTTGTTACAAACACAATGACTATCAAACTCACCAGACTGAAACTTTTTTCCAATGAGACCCAGTTCATCACCACCCTCAGCGGAACCCTCGCTGATACTGGCCCACCATATTTCAGGATTACCAGGGGGACCAGCTGCAAAACAACAAACAGATCTCTTCAGTTCTAAAATACGTTCTTTCCTAACAAGGTCAGCTGACAATCAATTCTCCTACCTTATTATATTTACCATTCATTCATTACAAGTTCTAAGAATTTTATGGTAGATAAAGACAATGACTCCCTGGTAATCATTTTCATGTTTTTAAACATCTTATATGCAATTCTCTGAGAAAAGAACTTATAAATACATTTATTCAAATTTAACTGTAATGGGGCATACTTACAGGAACTGCACTGGAACACTTTGGATTTACAAGACAGCTTTAATGCAGGACCACCATCTTTTTCTGGTATCTCTGCCTGAAATAACAGGCGTGCTTCTTTGCGTTCCTTCTTCCAAGCTCTTGGATCTATTCCCCTCTTTCTCAACTCTCTATCACCTTCCCAGTTCCGCAGTCTACGGATACTGAGTGAATCCAACCTATAAGCAACAAGTAAACAAGTTATCATCAGAAAGATACTGACAAAAACATTCTGATGATAAGAACCTGACTAAGATAGAAAACTACTTACACAGCAGTCATGTTTGTATCTGGGGCAACCATGACTTGAACGGCTGGGACTCCCCCAGGCAATGTCGTTTCCTTGCAAGGGACCTTAGTAGAGCCAGGCCCATGAATAGAATGGTAATGTGGCACACCGCTGCTGGTGGTCAAATGCACTGTAATCCACACAGCTTCATCATATCCTGTCACCTGACATGGTAAGAAATATTCAACTCAATTTTTGTTTTTAATCCTTGTTTGTTATTCCTGCTTATTGATATGAGCAGGGTTCCAAAAAAGCTGTCAAAATACTGATCTGATTGATAAAGGGATCCAAGTACACGTAATATTTTTATTTGGCATACATAACTCGATACACAAACTTTGTTATCCACAGTTTAGCTGATCAAGACAGACAGGAAAATCTTTGTCTAATGTCAGGCCAATGACAATGCCTCCCATACAGTATAAAATGTATTTTACAAGATAGACACAAAACAACCACTTACCGGCTCACAAAATATAAACTTAACTACAATGACTAATGTTTGTCTAACAAACAGCAATGCCCCCACACTCAAAAATGTATCTTACATTTGGGTTTCTAGTAACAAGACTGAACACAAAACAACCACTTACTGGCTTAGGGAATATAAACTTAAGTACAATAATCATTGTTTTGTCTGTCTCTTGAAGGCAACACAGAAGCAAAGATGCAGCTTAATTACCTTCACAGCTGGGAAAGTATTGTCTTGAGAACCATGAATAGGACCTCTGCAGCCTTCACTCTCATATCTTGCTCGGTAATTCTAAAACAAGGGTAAAATAGAACTTGTCAAAATCATAGACTATTACATTCAAAAACTAATAAAATAGTGTAGACTACACAAGATGTGTTTTCTGCACTATAATATTGATCATGATGAAATTGCTGGTCGATGTTATTAACTTCAATTTACTTAACACTAATGATTAACGCTGAATAATTTGGCAAATTTTCAGAGATGTTAAGAGCAAATACCTCTTCAGGCTCCTCGATAATCACAATCTTAGGTTCATCGGTCTTTCTAGGATTTCTTGTGTTCTTGTTCTTTATTCTGGATGGAGAAGCAACTGGAGGTGGTGTGCTTAGCTTGGGAATGGTAACTGTTGATGTTGATTGGCTAGAGACTGACACATGAGAGGCAGGTATCAATGTGGTGGTTTGGCTCACTTGGACAGATTGGGGGCAGCTGTGAGAAATTGATGTTGGTGATGCTGTGGTTTGAACACCAGCCATCACTTCATCATCAAGGCCAGTAATTTGGGCTGGACTTTGGAAAATGTGAGATCGAGAATGGTCCATAAGAGCCGATGCCAAAGACACCCTTGTTTCCATTGTTTCCACAAGAAGCTTGTTGAGTTCCTCCAAGACACTGCTGTCATTTTGAGTTCTTCTGTGGCCCTTCCGTCTCTTCTTAGTCACGTTGAGTGGAGGTTGATTCAGAGCATTGAGGGGAGAAGATGGATTTTCCATTTTTACAACAAGAGGCTCATTTGCTGTTTGGCTGACGGTAGGGATTGCTTCTTCCATATCACTCCCATCCTCAATACCTGACTCAGAGGACGATGCAGAGGAACGTGGTGAAGGCGAGGATAATGGGGAAGGTGATGGTGGACAGCTGTCAGAGATATCAGAGTCCCATCGTGAACTCTCGGAGTTATCCAGATTCAGATTGGGGAATTCAAGTGGAGGACAATCGGCTATCTGGGGCTCCAGAAAAGTCACCATTTGGAACTCTGCTTCTGGCTCCATTGGCACAACGAAATCTGCTGCACAAGAACATAAATATGAAAATTACAACAATAACTCCTTTCCCTCTTAAATGCACTTGTTTTCACAAACTGAGTTTATCTCAGTAAAACTAACACAACCTCACTGAAGGGTGGTGCAAAATATCACCATGCTGATACAGTATATGTAGAAAATACTTTAAACAAATGTAAAGGTGCGTGGAACAATGAAAATACAATTTAATTCTTACATAGCTTCTTTCTGCAACAGATGTTCTTCAACAACTCATAAACATTAGTGCTACTTGATCCAAGAACTAAAGAGAATGAACTCTAAGAGCCATTTAAACAAAGTAATGATCCAAAGATTTTACGGTTTGGAAAATTGTTCACTGCAACTTATAAACAAACAACTGGTTTGGAACATTTTTATACAAAAACCTTGAGAGTTCATTTACAATTCCAGTGCAAAGAGATTTACTGTCACAAAATGGCAGCTATTATTAAAAAGATGAGTGTTAGCCTAAAGGTAATTCTTGCTCACTAGGGTTACCAACCCCAAAATTCATCTCTAACAGTACTTCTGTTTACTCAAAAATTTCCCTACAGACTTCACTTCCCTGCTGGGTAAGTGCAGAGCAATCTATTCATTCAGCTGCAAAATCCACTAACCCCAGGCTGCTGGACACGACTTTCTATGCACAATGACAAGGGCAAAGGGTAGTAATGATTTCCAGCGGCTTTTTGTTTAGTTCTTGCTCAATACTGTGTAACATAAAACCTTCTTATCAACCTTTGCTGTGAGTGGAAGATCAAGGAACATCCAACTAATAATAATAGCTCAAATTTTACATTTTTTTGAAAAGTTTGTCAGGTTCACAACTTCATTTTCAGAGGGAATGAAAATAGAAATACCAAGCACATGGCGGGAGAACCACTCAACCTTGTGGGCCTTTCTTTATTGTCAAAACTACACAGGGTGAAATGTTTGCAAATAACTTACCATTTGCCTGTGAAGGATGGAAAAGTCCTATTTCTTTAACTTCTGTTTCAGGCGAAAAATTATCTGAAACAGAACAGAAATAGAGATGTGGTCAATTTAATTAAAGTCAATCTCCGGAAACGAAAGATGTCTTGAGGTTCAAAGTTCGAAATTTGTACAATACATTCTTTTCATACGCAGTTCCCACACTAATTAAGCACAATTAAATTTCCAGATTTTTGAATTGAGGTTGCCTAACTTCTAAAAAATGTTTTTGTGAATTTTGACGGTTTTGATGTGCACAGGTGCGTAAAAATAAGCTTCAACTTTTACGTGGCCTTAAAATGTGGTTTGCGGATCCTGTTACGACACAAACTTCATCAACATGAACATGCAAACTAGTGTTTCACCTTTCGACACGTTCGAAAACATGGAACAAATCGGATCAAATTTTCTAACACGTGCAAAAAAATTGCACAGCAAAAAAGTCAGAGCTCTTTTGAATCTGTTTAATTGGTTTATGCTTAGTAATCGTTTGGCTAAACCGTTTTCATTATCACAGTACAACAATGCGTAAGTAAGCTTAAGTTTCTCAACCGCCAGCTGAAAGGACACGAAAGAAAGGATCGGTCTGAACACATGCAGTCATAGCAGTCAATGGTATTTGCATTCACCACGATTATACAAGAAGCAACTTGACAGTTTCATGACAAGGAGAGGTGAAAGCAGTCTACGGGTGATTCAGTAAAAGCAAGATTGGAGATAAATATGAATGAACGTACATGTGGTCCAAAATATCAGACTACATTTAGCTAGTCGAGAAACGGCTTTCAACAAGGAAGCAATACAGAACACAGCGTAAACACTTAATATCACACTCTCTCTATATATCATAGCTATGGAACTAAAAATACACCGCAGAAAAAGCGTAAAATTTAAACTGGCGGTAACCGCAATTCAGATACCAGCTACGTTACCTGCTTCGAAGGGATTTCTCTCCTCGAACTCCATCGTAAAACGCTACTTTATCCGCTCAATTTCGAAAGTCGCACGCTAGAAGCATAAATGAATCTCCCTTACGGCTTTCAGTATTCTGGAAACGAAATAAAGGCCGAAAACAGCGGGAAGATGGCGAAATTTATGAACACCGCCAACGCCAAACCTTCCCACACGCCTTCTTCTCGGTAAATGAAGCNGGGCAACATACATGCCAATCAAACATATGTAAAGATCAACATGTTCACATGAAGGGGACAATGGTTACCATGAATCAAATTGTCACATGTATACCAATCAAACATATTTAGACATCCACATGTTCAAATCATGCTCAAAGATTTTCAGCACACTTCTTGATGTGTAGGCATGAATGTTTGTTCAACAAGAGCACCATGGAGTGATCCTTTGTTACTGGTGTTTGAAGACAGTCGTGTTTAGAGGCAAATTTAGCGCACACCTTCTGAACTGTTTTCTTTTCTTTAACCCAAACATTCACCCACCCAAGAAACCCAATCTTACATTACCTGTCAAGTCTACCCAAGTCCATTGACACAAGAATATCACAGCAATCAGGCACAGATCTACATTACATTTCACAAAGCTGAATCACTTTCAAAATTTGCCAATTTACAGTGAATGAGGCTCTTGTTGTTTTACATATGCAAAAATCCGAAACATCAAACCATCTATACTTCCCAAAAGCAAGAAGCAGCAGCCTAATTCAGTTTTTTGTTTTACTATAGATAATGAGGCGTGCCAGTTTAAACAAAACAAGTACAAAAAGGTAGGGTATCAGATTACAATGCATGTTACCCTTGGTTATCTTTTGGTTTTTGTTTTGAATCAAACAAGTTTTTTTCTTGGTTTCAACACCTTAGTCTGGAAACAAGCTGGATAAACTCTCGAAACAAGTAAAAATCTCTCAAGACGACGTCACTTTGCATTGTAAGCTAATGCCCAACAATCACAAGAACACAAGCAAGGAGCAAGTCATTCTACAGAGTAGGATGCAAAGTCAGTCGTGTTCATTTTAAGGTTAACGTCACTGACAAAACAGCCCACAATGAACAAATTTACCCCTTGATTATACTCCTGTGAACATTCATCAGTATAACAAAGGAAAAAAGAGACATACTGCCTACCAGTGGGGTTCACAGAGAAGAATCGTACTTTGAAACCTGCAAGAGCACAAAAAAATGCTTTAATTCACAGAACTACCTCTTACCAACACAAAAATACCAGGTTTGTTACAAACACAATGTCTTTCAAACTCACCAGACTGAAACTTTTTTCCAATTAGACCCAGTTCATCACCACCCTCAGCGGAACCCTCGCTGATACTGGCCCACCATATTTCAGGATTACCAGGGGGACCAGCTGCAAAACAACAAACAGATCTCTTCAGTTCTAAAATACATTCTTTCCTAACAAGGTCAGCTGACAATCAATTCTCCTACCTTATTATATTTACCATTCATTCATTACAAGTTCTAAGAATTTTATGGTAGATAAAGACAATGACTCCCTGGTAATCATTTTCATGTTTTTAAACATCTTATATGCAATTCTCTGAGAAAAGAACTTATAAATACATTTATTCAAATTTAACTGTAATGGGGCATACTTACAGGAACTGCACTGGAACACTTTGGATTTACAAGACAGCTTTAATGCAGGACCACCATCTTTTTCTGGTATCTCTGCCTGAAATAACAGGCGTGCTTCTTTGCGTTCCTTCTTCCAAGCTCTTGGATCTATTCCCCTCTTTCTCAACTCTCTATCACCTTCCCAGTTCCGCAGTCTACGGATACTGAGTGAATCCAACCTATAAGCAGCAAGTAAACAAGTTATTATCAGAAAGATACTGACAAAAACATTCTGATGATAAGAACCTGACTAAGATAGAAAACTACTTACACAGCAGTCATGTTTGTATCTGGGGCAACCATGACTTGAACGGCTGGGACTCCCCCAGGCAATGTCGTTTCCTTGCAAGGGACCTTAGTAGAGCCAGGCCCATGAATAGAATGGTAATGTGGCACACCGCTGCTGGTGGTCAAATGCACTGTAATCCACACAGCTTCATCATATCCTGTCACCTGACATGGTAAGAAATATTCAACTCAATTTTTGTTTTTAATCCTTGTTTGTTATTCCTGCTTATTGATATGAGCAGGGTTCCAAAAAAGCTGTCAAAATACTGATCTGATTGATAAAGGGATCCAAGTACACGTAATATTTTTATTTGGCATACATAACTCGATACACAAACTTTGTTATCCACAGTTTAGCTGATCAAGACAGACAGGAAAATCTTTGTCTAATGTCAGGCCAATGACAATGCCTCCCATACAGTATAAAATGTATTTTACAAGATAGACACAAAACAACCACTTACCGGCTCACAAAATATAAACTTAACTACAATGACTAATGTTTGTCTAACAAACAGCAATGCCCCCACACTCAAAAATGTATCTTACATTTGGGTTTCTAGTAACAAGACTGAACACAAAACAACCACTTACTGGCTTAGGGAATATAAACTTAAGTACAATAATCATTGTTTTGTCTGTCTCTTGAAGGCAACACAGAAGCAAAGATGCAGCTTAATTACCTTCACAGCTGGGAAAGTATTGTCTTGAGAACCATGAATAGGACCTCTGCAGCCTTCACTCTCATATCTTGCTCGGTAATTCTAAAACAAGGGTAAAATAGAACTTGTCAAAATCATAGACTATTACATTCAAAAACTAATAAAATAGTGTAGACTACACAAGATGTGTTTTCTGCACTATAATATTGATCATGATGAAATTGCTGGTCGATGTTATTAACTTCAATTTACTTAACACTAATGATTAACGCTGAATAATTTGGCAAATTTTCAGAGATGTTAAGAGCAAATACCTCTTCAGGCTCCTCGATAATCACAATCTTAGGTTCATCGGTCTTTCTAGGATTTCTTGTGTTCTTGTTCTTTATTCTGGATGGAGAAGCAACTGGAGGTGGTGTGCTTAGCTTGGGAATGGTAACTGTTGATGTTGATTGGCTAGAGACTGACACATGAGAGGCAGGTATCAATGTGGTGGTTTGGCTCACTTGGACAGATTGGGGGCAGCTGTGAGAAATTGATGTTGGTGATGCTGTGGTTTGAACACCAGCCATCACTTCATCATCAAGGCCAGTAATTTGGGCTGGACTTTGGAAAATGTGAGATCGAGAATGGTCCATAAGAGCCGATGCCAAAGACACCCTTGTTTCCATTGTTTCCACAAGAAGCTTGTTGAGTTCCTCCAAGACACTGCTGTCATTTTGAGTTCTTCTGTGGCCCTTCCGTCTCTTCTTAGTCACGTTGAGTGGAGGTTGATTCAGAGCATTGAGGGGAGAAGATGGATTTTCCATTTTTACAACAAGAGGCTCATTTGCTGTTTGGCTGACGGTAGGGATTGCTTCTTCCATATCACTCCCATCCTCAATACCTGACTCAGAGGACGATGCAGAGGAACGTGGTGAAGGCGAGGATAATGGGGAAGGTGATGGTGGACAGCTGTCAGAGATATCAGAGTCCCATCGTGAACTCTCGGAGTTATCCAGATTCAGATTGGGGAATTCAAGTGGAGGACAATCGGCTATCTGGGGCTCCAGAAAAGTCACCATTTGGAACTCTGCTTCTGGCTCCATTGGCACAACGAAATCTGCTGCACAAGAACATAAATATGAAAATTACAACAATAACTCCTTTCCCTCTTAAATGCACTTGTTTTCACAAACTGAGTTTATCTCAGTAAAACTAACACAACCTCACTGAAGGGTGGTGCAAAATATCACCATGCTGATACAGTATATGTAGAAAATACTTTAAACAAATGTAAAGGTGCGTGGAACAATGAAAATACAATTTAATTCTTACATAGCTTCTTTCTGCAACAGATGTTCTTCAACAACTCATAAACATTAGTGCTACTTGATCCAAGAACTAAAGAGAATGAACTCTAAGAGCCATTTAAACAAAGTAATGATCCAAAGATTTTACGGTTTGGAAAATTGTTCACTGCAACTTATAAACAAACAACTGGTTTGGAACATTTTTATACAAAAACCTTGAGAGTTCATTTACAATTCCAGTGCAAAGAGATTTACTGTCACAAAATGGCAGCTATTATTAAAAAGATGAGTGTTAGCCTAAAGGTAATTCTTGCTCACTAGGGTTACCAACCCCAAAATTCATCTCTAACAGTACTTCTGTTTACTCAAAAATTTCCCTACAGACTTCACTTCCCTGCTGGGTAAGTGCAGAGCAATCTATTCATTCAGCTGCAAAATCCACTAACCCCAGGCTGCTGGACACGACTTTCTATGCACAATGACAAGGGCAAAGGGTAGTAATGATTTCCAGCGGCTTTTTGTTTAGTTCTTGCTCAATACTGTGTAACATAAAACCTTCTTATCAACCTTTGCTGTGAGTGGAAGATCAAGGAACATCCAACTAATAATAATAGCTCAAATTTTACATTTTTTTGAAAAGTTTGTCAGGTTCACAACTTCATTTTCAGAGGGAATGAAAATAGAAATACCAAGCACATGGCGGGAGAACCACTCAACCTTGTGGGCCTTTCTTTATTGTCAAAACTACACAGGGTGAAATGTTTGCAAATAACTTACCATTTGCCTGTGAAGGATGGAAAAGTCCTATTTCTTTAACTTCTGTTTCAGGCGAAAAATTATCTGAAACAGAACAGAAATAGAGATGTGGTCAATTTAATTAAAGTCAATCTCCGGAAACGAAAGATGTCTTGAGGTTCAAAGTTCGAAATTTGTACAATACATTCTTTTCATACGCAGTTCCCACACTAATTAAGCACAATTAAATTTCCAGATTTTTGAATTGAGGTTGCCTAACTTCTAAAAAATGTTTTTGTGAATTTTGACGGTTTTGATGTGCACAGGTGCGTAAAAATAAGCTTCAACTTTTACGTGGCCTTAAAATGTGGTTTGCGGATCCTGTTACGACACAAACTTCATCAACATGAACATGCAAACTAGTGTTTCACCTTTCGACACGTTCGAAAACATGGAACAAATCGGATCAAATTTTCTAACACGTGCAAAAAAATTGCACAGCAAAAAAGTCAGAGCTCTTTTGAATCTGTTTAATTGGTTTATGCTTAGTAATCGTTTGGCTAAACCGTTTTCATTATCACAGTACAACAATGCGTAAGTAAGCTTAAGTTTCTCAACCGCCAGCTGAAAGGACACGAAAGAAAGGATCGGTCTGAACACATGCAGTCATAGCAGTCAATGGTATTTGCATTCACCACGATTATACAAGAAGCAACTTGACAGTTTCATGACAAGGAGAGGTGAAAGCAGTCTACGGGTGATTCAGTAAAAGCAAGATTGGAGATAAATATGAATGAACGTACATGTGGTCCAAAATATCAGACTACATTTAGCTAGTCGAGAAACGGCTTTCAACAAGGAAGCAATACAGAACACAGCGTAAACACTTAATATCACACTCTCTCTATATATCATAGCTATGGAACTAAAAATACACCGCAGAAAAAGCGTAAAATTTAAACTGGCGGTAACCGCAATTCAGATACCAGCTACGTTACCTGCTTCGAAGGGATTTCTCTCCTCGAACTCCATCGTAAAACGCTACTTTATCCGCTCAATTTCGAAAGTCGCACGCTAGAAGCATAAATGAATCTCCCTTACGGCTTTCAGTATTCTGGAAACGAAATAAAGGCCGAAAACAGCGGGAAGATGGCGAAATTTATGAACACCGCCAACGCCAAACCTTCCCACACGCCTTCTTCTCGGTAAATGAAGCTCGCGTGGCCTCCAGGGAGTTATCAATCAACTTTGGCTCCGCCTATTGGTAGTTCGAATAATGACATCATCCTCTACCCAAATATGGCGCTTTAGGCCACATGGCGCAAGGCTGATATTTGCATTTCCTTTCTCGTTTCGATTTAGCAAAATTAATTCATGTAGCTTTATTTTTGGGCACCAATGGCATCGTTCAAATTTTCACCTATTGCATTACATTTATGAAGTGGGTAATTTTTGTTGTGGCTAACTATCAAAATCGTCTGCGATAAATGTCAAAATATATAACTTAAGTAATTATTTTTTTTACTCGATTGTTTCCAGAGTATTTTGTCGGTCCAGTGCACATTTTGTAACAACGACAAAATAATACTATGACCCACAATCCGAACAAACTGATAATAATTATATACACACGCAGGCGTACTTAGAGGGGAAAAAGAAAGAAAACCCAGGCAGACGAAACCAGAAGTAACTTTTTTTAAAAATAATATCAAAAACAATTTAGCCTCGTGATGGAGGACACGCCGGAAATCCTTTCCTTTGTCTTCCTTTAGCGTTAGATACAGGGATAAATAATTTGTCTGAAATATTTTATTTGTCGTTTTTCTACCTAATTTTAAAAAGTAATACATTTGGACGAGACAGGTAAAAACAAAACAAACATAGTTCAGTGACAAAGAAACCGTAAGCAGCAGTCCAATTTTCTGTCTCAAGTGCTAGTCTCTAAAGCCGCATTTCGAACATACCGTATATTTAGCCAGACCGTTTTTATCGCTATATCCTAGCTAGAGCAAAAATCCAATACGGAAACTGTGCTCGTAAAGTACGTGCTACCTGTGGTCATAGATTTAAACATAGACAACGCTCGAGATAACCATGGGATCGAAAAAATTGTGCACTAATATAAAGTTACAGTGCAACCTTTGAGACTTGATTGGCAAAAGTATTATTTCTGATTTCACCTTGTTGATCTCGCTGTGCCATGTGTTTGGGCTTAAAGCTGCCTATGTTGACTACAGANGGGCAACATACATGCCAATCAAACATATGTAAAGATCAACATGTTCACATGAAGGGGACAATGGTTACCATGAATCAAATTGTCACATGTATACCAATCAAACATATTTAGACATCCACATGTTCAAATCATGCTCAAAGATTTTCAGCACACTTCTTGATGTGTAGGCATGAATGTTTGTTCAACAAGAGCACCATGGAGTGATCCTTTGTTACTGGTGTTTGAAGACAGTCGTGTTTAGAGGCAAATTTAGCGCACACCTTCTGAACTGTTTTCTTTTCTTTAACCCAAACATTCACCCACCCAAGAAACCCAATCTTACATTACCTGTCAAGTCTACCCAAGTCCATTGACACAAGAATATCACAGCAATCAGGCACAGATCTACATTACATTTCACAAAGCTGAATCACTTTCAAAATTTGCCAATTTACAGTGAATGAGGCTCTTGTTGTTTTACATATGCAAAAATCCGAAACATCAAACCATCTATACTTCCCAAAAGCAAGAAGCAGCAGCCTAATTCAGTTTTTTGTTTTACTATAGATAATGAGGCGTGCCAGTTTAAACAAAACAAGTACAAAAAGGTAGGGTATCAGATTACAATGCATGTTACCCTTGGTTATCTTTTGGTTTTTGTTTTGAATCAAACAAGTTTTTTTCTTGGTTTCAACACCTTAGTCTGGAAACAAGCTGGATAAACTCTCGAAACAAGTAAAAATCTCTCAAGACGACGTCACTTTGCATTGTAAGCTAATGCCCAACAATCACAAGAACACAAGCAAGGAGCAAGTCATTCTACAGAGTAGGATGTAAAGTCAGTCGTGTTCATTTTAAGGTTAACGTCACTGACAAAACAGCCCACAATGAACAAATTTACCCCTTGATTATACTCCTGTGAACATTCATCAGTATAACAAAGGAAAAAAGAGACAGACTGCCTACCAGTGGGGTTCACAGAGAAGAATCGTACTTTGAAACCTGCAAGAGCACAAAAAATGCTTTAATTCACAGAACTACCTCTTACCAACACAAAAACACCAGGTTTGTTACAAACACAATGGCTTTCAAACTCACCAGACTGAAACTTTTTCCCAATCAGACCCAGTTCATCACCACCCTCAGCGGAACCCTCGCTGATACTGGCCCACCATATTTCAGGATTACCAGGGGGACCAGCTGCAAAACAACAAACAGATCTCTTCAGTTCTAAAATACGTTCTTTCCTAACAAGGTCAGCTGACAATCAATTCTCCTACCTTATTATATTTACCATTCATTCATTACAAGTTCTAAGAATTTTATGGTAGATAAAGACAATGACTCCCTGGTAATCATTTTCATGTTTTTAAACATCTTATATGCAATTCTCTGAGAAAAGAACTTATAAATACATTTATTCAAATTTAACTGTAATGGGGCATACTTACAGGAACTGCACTGGAACACTTTGGATTTACAAGACAGCTTTAATGCAGGACCACCATCTTTTTCTGGTATCTCTGCCTGAAATAACAGTCGTGCTTCTTTGCGTTCCTTCTTCCAAGCTCTTGGATCTATTCCCCTCTTTCTCAACTCTCTATCACCTTCCCAGTTCCGCAGTCTACGGATACTGAGTGAATCCAACCTATAAGCAGCAAGTAAACAAGTTATTATCAGAAAGATACTGACAAAAACATTCTGATGATAAGAACCTGACTAAGATAGAAAACTACTTACACAGCAGTCATGTTTGTATCTGGGGCAACCATGACTTGAACGGCTGGGACTCCCCCAGGCAATGTCGTTTCCTTGCAAGGGACCTTAGTAGAGCCAGGCCCATGAATAGAATGGTAATGTGGCACACCGCTGCTGGTGGTCAAATGCACTGTAATCCACACAGCTTCATCATATCCTGTCACCTGACATGGTAAGAAATATTCAACTCAATTTTTGTTTTTAATCCTTGTTTGTTATTCCTGCTTATTGATATGAGCAGGGTTCCAAAAAAGCTGTCAAAATACTGATCTGATTGATAAAGGGATCCAAGTACACATAATATTTTTATTTGGCATACATAACTCGATACACAAACTTTGTTATCCACAGTTTAGCTGATCAAGATAGACAGGAAAATCTTTGTCTAATGTCAGGCCAATGACAATGCCTCCCATACAGTATAAAATGTATTTTACAAGATAGACACAAAACAACCACTTACCGGCTCACAAAATATAAACTTAACTACAATGACTAATGTTTGTCTAACAAACAGCAATGCCCCCACACTCAAAAATGTATCTTACATTTGGGTTTCTAGTAACAAGACTGAACACAAAACAACCACTTACTGGCTTAGGGAATATAAACTTAAGTACAATAATCATTGTTTTGTCTGTCTCTTGAAGGCAACACAGAAGCAAAGATGCAGCTTAATTACCTTCACAGCTGGGAAAGTATTGTCTTGAGAACCATGAATAGGACCTCTGCAGCCTTCACTCTCATATCTTGCTCGGTAATTCTAAAACAAGGGTAAAATAGAACTTGTCAAAATCATAGACTATTACATTCAAAAACTAATAAAATAGTGTAGACTACACAAGATGTGTTTTCTGCACTATAATATTGATCATGATGAAATTGCTGGTCGATGTTATTAACTTCAATTTACTTAACACTAATGATTAACGCTGAATAATTTGGCAAATTTTCAGGGATGTTAAGAGCAAATACCTCTTCAGGCTCCTCGATAATCACAATCTTAGGTTCATCGGTCTTTCTAGGATTTCTTGTGTTCTTGTTCTTTATTCTGGATGGAGAAGCAACTGGAGGTGGTGTGCTTAGCTTGGGAATGGTAACTGTTGATGTTGATTGGCTAGAGACTGACACATGAGAGGCAGGTATCAATGTGGTGGTTTGGCTCACTTGGACAGATTGGGGGCAGCTGTGAGAAACTGATGTTGGTGATGCTGTGGTTTGAACACCAGCCATCACTTCATCATCAAGGCCAGTAATTTGGGCTGGACTTTGGAAAATGTGAGATCGAGAATGGTCCATAAGAGCCGATGCCAAAGACACCCTTGTTTCCATTGTTTCCACAAGAAGCTTGTTGAGTTCCTCCAAGACACTGCTGTCATTTTGAGTTCTTCTGTGGCCCTTCCGTCTCTTCTTAGTCACGTTGAGTGGAGGTTGATTCAGAGCATTGAGGGGAGAAGATGGATTTTCCATTTTTACAACAAGAGGCTCATTTGCTGTTTGGCTGATGGTAGGGATTGCTTCTTCCATATCACTCCCATCCTCAATACCTGACTCAGAGGACGATGCAGAGGAACGTGGTGAAGGCGAGGATAATGGGGAAGGTGATGGTGGACAGCTGTCAGAGATATCAGAGTCCCATCGTGAACTCTCGGAGTTATCCAGATTCAGATTGGGGAATTCAAGTGGAGGACAATCGGCTATCTGGGGCTCCAGAAAAGTCACCATTTGGAACTCTGCTTCTGGCTCCATTGGCACAACGAAATCTGCTGCACAAGAACATAAATATGAAAATTACAACAATAACTCCTTTCCCTCTTAAATGCACTTGTTTTCACAAACTGAGTTTATCTCAGTAAAACTAACACAACCTCACTGAAGGGTGGTGCAAAATATCACCATGCTGATACAGTATATGTAGAAAATACTTTAAACAAATGTAAAGGTGCGTGGAACAATGAAAATACAATTTAATTCTTACATAGCTTCTTTCTGCAACAGATGTTCTTCAACAACTCATAAACATTAGTGCTACTTGATCCAAGAACTAAAGAGAATGAACTCTAAGAGCCATTTAAACAAAGTAATGATCCAAAGATTTTACGGTTTGGAAAATTGTTCACTGCAACTTATAAACAAACAACTGGTTTGGAACATTTTTATACAAAAACCTTGAGAGTTCATTTACAATTCCAGTGCAAAGAGATTTACTGTCACAAAATGGCAGCTATTATTAAAAAGATGAGTGTTAGCCTAAAGGTAATTCTTGCTCACTAGGGTTACCAACCCCAAAATTCATCTCTAACAGTACTTCTGTTTACTCAAAAATTTCCCTACAGACTTCACTTCCCTGCTGGGTAAGTGCAGAGCAATCTATTCATTCAGCTGCAAAATCCACTAACCCCAGGCTGCTGGACACGACTTTCTATGCACAATGACAAGGGCAAAGGGTAGTAATGATTTCCAGCGGCTTTTTGTTTAGTTCTTGCTCAATACTGTGTAACATAAAACCTTCTTATCAACCTTTGCTGTGAGTGGAAGATCAAGGAACATCCAACTAATAATAATAGCTCAAATTTTACATTTTTTTGAAAAGTTTGTCAGGTTCACAACTTCATTTTCAGAGGGAATGAAAATAGAAATACCAAGCACATGGCGGGAGAACCACTCAACCTTGTGGGCCTTTCTTTATTGTCAAAACTACACAGGGTGAAATGTTTGCAAATAACTTACCATTTGCCTGTGAAGGATGGAAAAGTCCTATTTCTTTAACTTCTGTTTCAGGCGAAAAATTATCTGAAACAGAACAGAAATAGAGATGTGGTCAATTTAATTAAAGTCAATCTCCGGAAACGAAAGATGTCTTGAGGTTCAAAGTTCGAAATTTGTACAATACATTCTTTTCATACGCAGTTCCCACACTAATTAAGCACAATTAAATTTCCAGATTTTTGAATTGAGGTTGCCTAACTTCTAAAAAATGTTTTTGTGAATTTTGACGGTTTTGATGTGCACAGGTGCGTAAAAATAAGCTTCAACTTTTACGTGGCCTTAAAATGTGGTTTGCGGATCCTGTTACGACACAAACTTCATCAACATGAACATGCAAACTAGTGTTTCACCTTTCGACACGTTCGAAAACATGGAACAAATCGGATCAAATTTTCTAACACGTGCAAAAAAATTGCACAGCAAAAAAGTCAGAGCTCTTTTGAATCTGTTTAATTGGTTTATGCTTAGTAATCGTTTGGCTAAACCGTTTTCATTATCACAGTACAACAATGCGTAAGTAAGCTTAAGTTTCTCAACCGCCAGCTGAAAGGACACGAAAGAAAGGATCGGTCTGAACACATGCAGTCATAGCAGTCAATGGTATTTGCATTCACCACGATTATACAAGAAGCAACTTGACAGTTTCATGACAAGGAGAGGTGAAAGCAGTCTACGGGTGATTCAGTAAAAGCAAGATTGGAGATAAATATGAATGAACGTACATGTGGTCCAAAATATCAGACTACATTTAGCTAGTCGAGAAACGGCTTTCAACAAGGAAGCAATACAGAACACAGCGTAAACACTTAATATCACACTCTCTCTATATATCATAGCTATGGAACTAAAAATACACCGCAGAAAAAGCGTAAAATTTAAACTGGCGGTAACCGCAATTCAGATACCAGCTACGTTACCTGCTTCGAAGGGATTTCTCTCCTCGAACTCCATCGTAAAACGCTACTTTATCCGCTCAATTTCGAAAGTCGCACGCTAGAAGCATAAATGAATCTCCCTTACGGCTTTCAGTATTCTGGAAACGAAATAAAGGCCGAAAACAGCGGGAAGATGGCGAAATTTATGAACACCGCCAACGCCAAACCTTCCCACACGCCTTCTTCTCGGTAAATGAAGCTCGCGTGGCCTCCAGGGAGTTATCAATCAACTTTGGCTCCGCCTATTGGTAGTTCGAATAATGACATCATCCTCTACCCAAATATGGCGCTTTAGGCCACATGGCGCAAGGCTGATATTTGCATTTCCTTTCTCGTTTCGATTTAGCAAAATTAATTCATGTAGCTTTATTTTTGGGCACCAATGGCATCGTTCAAATTTTCACCTATTGCATTACATTTATGAAGTGGGTAATTTTTGTTGTGGCTAACTATCAAAATCGTCTGCGATAAATGTCAAAATATATAACTTAAGTAATTATTTTTTTTACTCGATTGTTTCCAGAGTATTTTGTCGGTCCAGTGCACATTTTGTAACAACGACAAAATAATACTATGACCCACAATCCGAACAAACTGATAATAATTATATACACACGCAGGCGTACTTAGAGGGGAAAAAGAAAGAAAACCCAGGCAGACGAAACCAGAAGTAACTTTTTTTAAAAATAATATCAAAAACAATTTAGCCTCGTGATGGAGGACACGCCGGAAATCCTTTCCTTTGTCTTCCTTTAGCGTTAGATACAGGGATAAATAATTTGTCTGAAATATTTTATTTGTCGTTTTTCTACCTAATTTTAAAAAGTAATACATTTGGACGAGACAGGTAAAAACAAAACAAACATAGTTCAGTGACAAAGAAACCGTAAGCAGCAGTCCAATTTTCTGTCTCAAGTGCTAGTCTCTAAAGCCGCATTTCGAACATACCGTATATTTAGCCAGACCGTTTTTATCGCTATATCCTAGCTAGAGCAAAAATCCAATACGGAAACTGTGCTCGTAAAGTACGTGCTACCTGTGGTCATAGATTTAAACATAGACAACGCTCGAGATAACCATGGGATCGAAAAAATTGTGCACTAATATAAAGTTACAGTGCAACCTTTGAGACTTGATTGGCAAAAGTATTATTTCTGATTTCACCTTGTTGATCTCGCTGTGCCATGTGTTTGGGCTTAAAGCTGCCTATGTTGACTACAGAATGGAGTTGTTTTGATCAGACATACGAGAAGCTCATAAATAATTCAGAACACGCAGAGTTATTGAAGTATGTCTGACAGCCGAATGCAAATTTCCTTGAACAGCTTATGGCAACCTAAGACGTCGCAAGGGGACAAAGGATTAGATTATTCAAGAATGTTCGCTCTGTGCCTCCCCTTATTTCACTGAAACTCAGCCAAATTGTGCTACAGAGCTAAAATAGTGGAAAATGTTCATACTAGACCAAAAAGAAGTTTAGTTTAGTTTATTTTTGGGCGCCAAAGCGAGAAAATTCATACCTATATCGATGAAGTCGACTGCATTGTCAATCGCAGCCATTGATTCACCGACAGCCTTCGTCTGCTTCATCTGTGGCCAGTTTGCATCGCTTAACATGGTCTGACTTCTTCAAGAAAACTTTAAAACTCGATTTCCAGTTTTTCCAAACCGGTTGAAAGGTCTAACGAGGGAAACTTTCCTTCGGAGTAAACTCGTTTGACCGGTTTCGGTTTCGCGCGGTATGTAAGCCTTCAGTTCTCTTCACTGGATTAGTAATTTATTCAGTTGCACACCCACTATTACACGATGATAATATAGCCTTCGCTTTCCTGTCGCCGCCTGATTGGCTGGTAATGACAGCTTCTTGACAGCTTCATGCCAAATAAGGCGTAAACGAGGGGTAAACCCTATTGCGCAGCTGGAAATTGTTTACTTAAGCGAGTGAGCATGCGTGTAGTTTCTATTTTGAGCAAATTTTTTCTGACGTAAGGCTTGAAATATGAGACAGGAAATTAAAACCTGTTTTGAAGTCTATAAGACCGACCGCAAGTCTGACATTGATCGATGTCATAGGGTAAATAACCCTGTGCTTGGTAGTGTATTTTTTAGGCTCAACATTTGTTGACGGGATATTTTCACATCTCTTGCTTTTGGACAGAAATTTCCCGATATGACCATTCTTTCACAAGACACATTTTCATCTTTAAAAAATATGATTCTTTTTAGAATAGCATCAATCAATATTGAAAGGATTGTTATAATTGATAGAAAAAAACAATCCTCACCTGGCAAAAAACGTCAAAAGATATAGATTGATTATTTTCTTTTTGGTGGTGGAGTCAGTTCCGTGCTAATTATCAGTTGTTTCCCGGGTT